CCCCATTTCTCATAAGTGTGGTGATAACTCATTGTAGCTTAGTTTGCATTTCCTTAACGATGAACACCTTTTTGTGTGTATTTGCCATCTGTATATCCTTTTTGGTAAAATGTTTCTTTTGTCTACTTTGTTTGGATTATTTAGATATTTTTGCTACTGAGTTTTGAAATATTTTCCAGATTCTAGTCCTTTGTCAAGTATGTGATTTGCAAATACTTTCTCCCAGTGTGTTGTCTTTTAAAACTCTTAACAGGGTGTTTCACAGAGGAAATTTATATTTTTAACAAGTCCTGACCAATTGGTTTTATTTCATGGGTTATGCTTTTCATGTCAAGTTTAAAAATGTTTTATACTTAACAGAACATTTGGGATTGTTTTCTAAAATGTCTTAGAATTTTACGTTTAGATTTGTACTCCATTTTGAGTTAATTTTAAGTTAATAGAAACACTTACTAGTTTATATGGACTGAAGTTTCTTTTTTGATCTGGGGAGGTACAGTTGTGCTGGCACCATTTGTTGAAAGTGCTGTTTTCTCCACTGAATTGCCTTTATATATACATGTGTATACATACACACACACACACATACCTGTGTATATATATATGTATTTTTATTTTCTTATTTTTTTTTATCAGAAATCAGCTGGATTTATTTGTGTGGGTCTATTCTGGGTACTACATTCATTTCTATGATCTCTGAGATCGTGCAGTTCTACACAGTTCTGAACTATGTAATGATCTGCTGTGCAGCTCCCTGGTCAGGGATCGAACCGAGACCATGGCAATGATAGTACTAAGACGTCCCCAGAAGAAAATCTTGCTGGGATTTTGATAGGCATTACATGAAATCTATATATAAGTTAGAAAATTATTGACATCCTTGCTATGTTGAATCTTCCCATCCTTGAACACAATATTCTCTCCATTTATTTAGTTCTTTATTTTACTTTGTGGTTTTCAACTTAGAAGCCATGTGCAGGTTTTATTAGATTTACCCCTAAGTTTTTTTTTTGTTAAGTGATTGTAATTCCTGTTAACGATTTTTCTTTTTTTTCTTTTTTTGGTTCAAGGTATTTGAACTAAGACTTACTCTTTGACTTGTGATTCTGTTTGTTAATTGTGATGTTGAGTTTTTCTGTATTCTTACTTATTTTTCTGTCACATAGTGTCCGGTAATTTTCTGTCCTCTTTAATCTACTTCATCTGATATCAAAACAGTCATCCCTGTTTTCTTTAGATTAATTAATGATAATTCATTTTCCATTCATTTTACTTTTAGTCTTTTTTTTTAACTTTTGAATTATTTAGATGGCATAGTTTGATAATATTTTCTAATCCACTCCAATAGTCTTTTAATTGATATATTTAGATCATATACATTTAATCTATTTATGATTGAGGATTTAAATATGCCATTTTATGTTTTGTTTCTGCTTACTCTTTTTTTCCTCCCATGATTGCTTGGATGCTTTGTATAATCCTATTTTGGTTTATCTGTGGTGTTTTTCAGTGCGTTTCTTTTTGTGGCTTCTTCGGTGACTACATTAAGACTGTATGTGCACTGGTCATCTTAGCAGTTTAGGTGACATGTAAATGCCTTATGTAGCTTTGTATCCATTGATTCTCCCCTACTGTGTCTTAAATACATTCTCTGTGTAAATTCGAAGCCATTAAAAACAGTGTTGTAATTTTTGAAGTTTTCTGAATTGTTTGACAGTTCAGTATCAGGCAATTTAGGAAACTTAAACTGGGAAGTCTTTTTCTTATTTACCCATTTTTTTCATTCTTATTTCCTTTATGTTTGGAGATCTTTCTTTAGCCAATTTTTTATATTGACCTGCTGGTTACAAATTCTTTGTTTCCTTTCATTTGGGAATATCCGCATTTCCTTTTCGCTCTTGAAAGATCTTCTTCCTGGTATGTTTCTCAGTTAAACTTTTTTTTTTTTTTTTTTAAATTTTCACCACTTTAAAATATGCCACCTCCTTCTTAGTCTACTTTGTATCTGATAAGAGATCTATTCTTTTGAATTTCTCCCCTTGAGATAAGATAGTTCCTTTTCTCTGCTTCCAAGCTTTTTACTTTATCTTAGGCAGTTGTACTGAGTGTCCTGGTGTAGATTTCTTTGCAGTTCTACATTTAAGATTTTATCACTGTATTGATTGGTAGACTTAAATCTTTTGATGTTTTGGCCATTTTTCTTGGAGTGCTTCTGCATTTCCTTCTTCTTCTCTTTTGAGACTCTGAAAGCAAGAAAAGTGGATCTTTTATTATAGTCCCACAGATTCCTGAGGCTCTGCTTGTTTAATTTTCCCCCAACTCTCTTTTTGCTAAGGTTAGCAATTTCTGTTACTGAGTTTTCAAGTTCATGGGTTCCTTTCCTCTGTCTACTCTGCTGTTGAACCCAATAATTGTGTTTATTTTGGTTATTGCACTCTCAGTTCTAAAATTTCCATTTGGATTATATTAATCTTCTGTTTGCTGAGATTCTTTTCATTTGTCTTAAGGGTGTTTATGATTGCTGGTTATATTAATGGCTGCTTTAAAATCTTTGTCAAATAAGCTTACTGTTATTGTGACACTGGCATCTTTGATTTTTTTCATTCAGTCATGATCTTCCTGGTTCCTATGACGTTATTTTTTGTTGAAGTTAGGACATGTTGATATATATTATATAATTCTGTGTCTTATTTAGACTTTGCTTTAGCCAGTTTCCTCCATCAGGGACAAGATGGGCGTAAATTTACAAGTTCCCCACTCAGCCTCTGCTGACACCAAAGTTGTTGTGGGTGAGAGTAGGAATTCTAGCTTCACATCAGCCTGACCTGATCCCTCCCTAGCCAAAAGAGAAGTGGCAAGGGGAGATGGTGAGCACGTGGGCAGGAGGGAGGAAGAAGGTAGAAAGGAGTATAGAGGCAGGTGGGCTTGGAGGTCAACGTCCCTAGTGTCCACAGGCTTCCTCTTACACTGCCCACTGGGGGGGAGGGGCGCACTTTCTGCCAGGTCTGAGTCAGGGCCCCCACGTAGTTCTCACAAGACCGAAGCTGGCTCCTCCTCAGCTGGTGTCTCTGGTTCTGCCCTGGGAGACTGGGAAAGCCCCGTGAGGATGGAGTCTGCATTCTCCCCCACTTCACTGGTGGGGATGGGGCCACAGTTTTCTCGGTTCCTTTTTTTGCTTTTTCTAGAGTAGAACAATTCCTGATGAGATATTGTGTTCTGGTAGGTTATCTTTTGCTGTCCTTTAACTGGAGAGAGCAGGATATTTTGTGTGCCTGTTTGTGTGTGACATTGTCTGTACTTCTTGGCATTTCTGGGTTGCTTGCTAGCTTGTCTAGCACCCAGTCTCTGGTACTTAAGGCTCAGATAGCTGATTGCACACCTTTTTTAAAGATTTATTTATTTGTACATACAGAACTGGGGTACAGGCCAGAGGTTCAGGGGCGGCGAGAGGCTTCACCAGAGACAGAGTGGGGTGCAGAACAGGCAGATCGACGAAGTACACTGCTGAGGGGAGCAGCGGGCGGGTCAGGAGAGGTCTGCCGCGCCATGTGGATCTCCTCAGGGCAGGCGGGAATCGAACTCATGCAGAACTGGCTTTAGCTTCTTAGTGCTGTGCTGTAACCCGCTGCACCACCAGGGAGGGCCAGATTGCACACCTTTTTATGTACCCCCAGACTCCTAGCCCATCTGCCTGCTTTCATAGTTGTCTTGTGTTTGTTTTACTTTTAAGTCCAGGGGTTTTAGTTTTTCTTAATGGAAAAAATAGGGGAAAGGACATCTATTTTATCTTACCTGAAAAACCAGTACCAAGTCTAGTATTTTTTTTAACAGCTTAATGCCAAGTTTTAATATTGCTATTATCTTTTCTTAATAGAAGCCTAGCAATAATGTGCCTCCTGCAAAATCAAAAAATATATACAAGTTGGTTGAGAATTCGCTGTCCATAAATAATCCAGCACTCTTCAATTCCTTGGGACCTCCTATTCGGTCAACAACTTGCCATCGCTGTGGCCTGTTTGGTAAGCGTATAGCTCTCAGCCTTCCCCCTGTGTAAGGGCTGTTTAAATGTGCACAGCACACATGGAATAGTGCTCGCCAAGTAGCAGGTCTCTCAACTGCAGAATCTGCCAGCCTCCTGCCAGTCCTTGCTCATTCGTCCCCTTTCAATTCTACTGCTTCTGTGCATGGTTATTATTTATAGATGCATTGAGTCGTGGAAACTCACAGCCCTATCAAGACAAGAGTATTTGCAAACCCTCAGAAAGGCCCTGCTGCACCTTCCAGTCACAGTACCTCCTAGAGGTATCACTGCTGTTTCATGAGAAATTACTTTTGCCAGTCATAACATTTTATATAAGCGGAAACACATGGTATGACTCTTCTATAGGTTTTTTTTTTTTT